AGGTGCACATAAATGGAGTCGTCACACTCTGCTGAATACAAATAACGTGAGCTGAGCCAAAATACAAACATCTGCAGTGTCATAAAGTCAATAATATGTGACATTTAGTACAAGCAAATGTCTTGTCCTTATAATCTTCATCAATGTCTAATACATAACTAGTGCCTCACCCTCATGTGTTTTGAACTGAAACTGATATATGTGAGTTTTAAAATCTATTAGTTAATATTAGTTGACATGAACCTAACATACAAACATTTTCAACCACCAATACATTATACCCTATGTATAAGATAATAGACCGTATACTATCCTAGGATACATAGTGTTTCTTGAGGCTAATACACAATTGAATCTGCCAGTATGTTTTAGAGCAGTTACTTAGAAAGCCATCAATATCTGTTAGGTTGACCATGAATTCATGAACAGGAGAACATGCATTATTTGCCGCATGTGAACTCTATTGTTTTAAAAAAAATAAAAAAGGTCTTTAGTCTTTTCCAGGTCTAATAGGTTAAACTTTGTTGAACACATTTCACCAAATTGAACTACTTCCCTTATGGATTTAAGATACATTTTAGATCAATTCAGCAACATTGCATGTCTATTTCCCTGATTGCATCACAACATATTCCTATTTTTCCATAGGTAGGATTTTGCTGTTCTGTATGGTCACATTTTCACCGAAATAATCACATTTTCTAGTACTATTTAGTGAACCAAACTACAGGTTAATGTCATACTGCTGTGGAATAAAGCACAATTATTTACAATCTAAAGAAGCTATTTAGAGTTCTACATTTTACTGGAGACCCTTGTGTTGATGTGTATTTGAAAATTGAAGTAATCATTCAATTAAAATAAGAAATACATCATTGTAGAGAATTACAATAGTCTGTTCGGACTTTCTATAGTGCTATATAAATGGTAGTATGAATTAAGTTAAATGACATTGGTTTTATCCTTTAAACTAGCGATTGAAGACAGCGTGACATCCAGGAGCAAAGTAAAGAGCTTTTTGTTCTTTTTATTCCAACTGAGTGCCGGGATTTCTAATGTTAGGCTTCTGTTTTATCTTCACTCATTTTACTGCAGGAAAGAGTCAGTGGCACGCACCGAGGCTTCCACTTCACTTTACATCCTCCTCTCTGTATTCTAGCTCTAACTGACTGAACAGGTATTTAAATGTCACTGGAGCTTTCATGAGATAATAGAAAAAGTAGTTTTTTCTTTTCCCTTTGAAAGCCCACCATTTCTTTAACTTATAAGGAAACCTGAGGAATTAATATTTAAAATCCCCCAAAACAAAGCACTTGTCCTTTATTTCCTAATAAGAACTTTTTTGTCAAATACTGGCTGGACAAAGTTACCCAATTATACCCAATGTGATCAAAGTGCTTGGGTCAGGCCTATTGCTAAGCTTTCTCATGGACCACCCATCAACAACTGCACACTACACACACACTACACTACACTCCTGGGGTCCTGAGCAATAAAGCTGCCATGAAATGACTGCATCCCCTTGTAAAGCTAAAGTTTAAGGGTCAGTTGGGTGCAAATGCTTACAAAAACATCAGTCGCTGCACCTAGCATGCCGTATGGCGGTGTACCTGCACTGAATACAATGAGATAAACTGTTGTGAACAAGATGAATGGAGTCCTTCCATAGAGTGGTGCAGTAATGAGTCCTACAACCCTGAAATTAGTCAGCATTTTACCACTTCCTGTTGCCGTGTCACACCGTTAACGTTTTTATGAATGTGTTTTTGGTTAGATGACTGAAATACAGTCTGTGGTTCACACAAGCTTAAGAGACATTTTGTTCTACGAAATAAAGACATCATGTCCGTAGCTTCTACGTACTGTACATGTGTCTTAAAAATGTAAGGTGCTAACGCCATCACATTGAACATCAGCAGCCTTTGGTTAAGCGTGCAGAACATGAAGTCATGCAGACCTGATGTAGTTTGTTTGAAGCTGTTAGCGATTGTAGTAACGTTACAAAAATCATAAACGATAGTGTTAATTGTGAAGATTATTCTCCCGAACAAACGTTTAAATACCACAAGCGTTTGTTTGCCACAGATCTTATTTCTTGCAAATCCAATGATAAATTCCCATGCTTTTTTTGAGAGTCCTTGCAATGCTAACTTCAGGATCGGCTATTTCATCACTACACCACTGTCATTAGTTAGATATTTCATGCTATGGCTAGTGTATTTTTAAGGATTAACAGAACCAATAAAACCTGGTCACTTCAAGCAACATTTGAACAATCCACCTTCAGTCATTAGGACTAGAGTTATCTATTCCACATGGGCGAGACGAAGGTTCTGCATTGCGTAAAGATATTTTATTTCCCTTACTTCTCAACAGCTTGAGCGGTGTTATGAAGAGCCCCCAGGAGGAATGTGAGTGTTGTAAATATCTCCAGAAATAAGGGGAAACTCAACCATTAAATGCCTGTTTAACTGAAAAATACCCAAACTTGTCAAACTTGTCCTCCCACAGCTAAATCTGTCCAGCTGGCATCAACATAATTGATTTTAATAATAAGAAGTTTTCCATTTTAGTTTGGGTTGCACATTTAAAATGACTTTTATAACTATTGCTGCACTTTGTGATGGCTTTCCCAATGTTCCCTTACCCACAGAGGATTTTATATTATGTTACGCCAGCAAAGCTTTGAGTGGCTCAATTGCTTTTATGACTGTTGAAACAGCCATCAATGAGCACAACACTAGACTAGTTTAAATCATTGTAATAATCTGAAATGTAGGCAAAAGTCTGAATCCAAGTTTATAAATGAAGCCACTGGGAAGTCCCTCTGTTACCTGCCTTTCCCATGTGTACTGAAAAGGAATCTAACTTCGATACAACCAACGTTATATCCGATACCGAACTCCGGTGCTGATAAGGCTCCGGTGAACGGCCGTCCAATCCTTTTAGGACTAAACCCCCCAGAATCCACACGCAAGATCAACGTAATCTGTTTAGGGGGGCGTTTACAGCGTGGCCTCAAACACCAAACTGCCTGTCGTAAAACAAATAAAGACTTCTAGTAATAATATGCAATTTTAACAAGAGGGAATATGAACATTTTTCATGAAAGCAGAACACATTGTCAATGTCATGTTTAGAATCAAGTTTTTTCTTTAAACATTTAATTTCAAATATGCAAACTTTATACTTTAATTTATTAACAGAGACTTAATTTATTAACAGAGACAATAAGGACAGCTTGTCTCTATGATTCGCTGGCCCAGGAAGTTGATTCGACCCTTTGCGTAGGTCGCCTGCATCATGTGCTTCATTGTCTTCATACCCGCTGTAACCGCTCTCAAGGTGTCAAAAACCACAAGCGCCTTCTCAGAATTGTGGCTGGAACTTTTACACTTGTATTGCCCCATCTAGAATGCATAGTGCGCATAGGTCAAAAGTTCAGAATGTTCTATCTAGTTTCACATGCCTGGTTTCACACGTCTGAAAAGACATGATGGAAACATACATCCTTTCTATTTACAGCCAATTTAGCATCTTTTTATCAATGGTAAGCTTAAAAGAGGTAGGTGAGGTAAAGGTCAGGTCTGACACGGCCACTTAAACACCAGAACTGTCAACAGTACTATGTAATGTCATTATAAGCTCAGAGATGTATTTCCATCACACTTTTGCATCTTAAATGTTATCTCCATGGTTCATTAAATAGAGTGTTTGTTTCTTCCTATTTTAAGTTTTTGCCTTGTTGCACCTTAGCATTGTTAAATTAAATAAAAGACAAACACTGACGTGTCAAGATTATAAATTAAAGGGCTGAAAAATATGTCAAATGTACATGTATATAATCATTCTTGACATCCATATACCACTCTATTACTCTACTTTTCAATCATGAAATATGGATTTTGGTCCTTTTAATCTTTTCAAACATGGGATTCTCACAATCAAACTCCACTGTCACTGGAATATATTTTTGTTCTGTAGTATGTAGGTTTGTTTGACAGTTGACAGCCCATTTTGGAGATATCAAAAGTGAGACAGTGGGTCCTCACCTGTACGCATACACACTTATTTAAAGATTCGGGGTAAATACCAACAACAATTGCATTGACAAAGTCGGATCATTCTGTCTAACTTGGATGTGTGTCACAGACTGAGAATGTTTGGATTCCCAGCCGGGCCTCCAATGATTTGAAACACATTTAGTCATGGCCCAGTGTTTCTCCTACCATTGTCTTGGAGGGGCGCTGCCCCCCGCCAACGGAGCCCCGCGCCCCCCCTGAAATTCAAAGTGTTTTTTAAAAAAAAGAATTATAATTTTTTCTTTTTTCTTTTTTTCTATATATATATAGCACCAAATTGCAACTAATCTATATCTACTGTCACTTTTCACATTGAACATGTGCTCTTTTATTAAATAAACGCTTTCATTTTAAGTTGTGAGTTTAGTGTTTTTGACCCTAAGAAACACTGATGCATTAATCAATAATAATAATCCACAGCTCCTCTCTCTGCTCCAGAGGATTTAAAATATATATATTCCCAATGCCACCATATCAAAGAACGTTGTCCTGTTGCTTATATGTGTGAATACCTATTGACATTAGCCTTACAAGAGGTCAGTGATTGAAATGCAAACATGTTATGTTATGTTTTCCAAAAATCAAAGACTTTGCAATTAGGAGTTCATGTTTTACAGAATTTTCAGTATTGCTCTTGCTGCAGTAGCAGAAGCTTTAAATATATTCTTCCTTTTCCCTGAATTATGAAACAAGGTATTTTTTTACGCCCCCCTCATAATATTCCATCAGCGTATGTTTCCCTATCAAATGTGTGTGAGTTATCAGTGAGGCAAGGTGAGCTGAGGGCCGCTGTGCGCGCTGACTGGAGCCGTATAGATCAGCGGACTCCGAGAGATTATGTCCATTGATCGGACAGGAGTGGTTTGTGGTTTCAATTGACGGCGGCCTCCTGTCTGATGTTGTCTTCTGTGATTTCAGGAGCCGAAGGAGCCGTGTTCAGCAAATCGGTGGAGACGCCACATGTCAGGGCCGAGCCCTTCAAAGAGCTGAGGTGAGTCAGCATTTGTTTTTATCCTGGCACCCATCAAACGCATACACAGTCAATCAATACATCTCTAATCGTGTGGAAAGTTCCTGCACCTACACTGCATAAATACTGCGGTAATTCAATGAAACAATTACACTCAAACAATAAATACAAACATACCCAAGCCTCCACAGAGTATAACACTCACTTTATCTCACACCAGCACAGATATATGTCTACATTTGTGTGTGTGATCATAAAAGAGCTGAAACAATTAGTCCATAGATAGAAAATTACATTTAAATATTAGATTTTTAGCTTAAAAAGTCATGTTTCAAAAACATTGAAGATGCTCTGTTTTCTGGATTTTAGATTTTTGATTGGATTAATTGAACAAAAAAGATGCCAACTGGGAAAAATTCCTATATTGTATATAATTATGCTTTTTTCATTCATGAATGGGTATTGGTGAATAACTTTTATAACTTACAACACTTTTGTGGTCTCAGCCGCACTTAGGTTTTACATGGAAAAAAAGAGACACTTATGGAGCTTATGCAATAGGAATTTTAAAGGTCACCTATTATGCAAAATCCACGTGTTCCTGTCTTTTATACATAAACATGTGTCCCCTCTGTGTAAAGATATTCTGAAAGTTTCAGGAAACAAGATTCGCTCACTTTTTGTCCTGATCCATTTATATAAAAACTTAACTGAAAATGAGCTGATCAGATTTTGGCCATTTTATGATGTCATAAAGATTCTTTGGCTGTAACCATTAGCCAATCACCAACCAATCTATGTTCAATCTGAATTTACTTTAAAATAAAAACATCTATATTGATTCTGACTTTTCTACATCCAACTCACAGGTGTATCATTGCTTTGAGAAAAAAAGATTATTAATCTAACCCTTTTAGAAGTGAAAATATATTCATTTGTTCTGGGAATGCCATTTTCGAGCCTGAAACCTGAAAAACAGGCTCAGGGCTTAACAGGTTAACAAAATATCTTGCAGAGGGGTGTTGGGAGTGGCACCTTATTTTCATCTAAAGCAGGGGTGGGGAACCTTTTTCCTCTCAAGGGCCATTTCAATTTTTTTAACATCCTCCGAGGGCCGTATAAATTATTGAACTCAACCTCTGCTTAAAAAAACAAATATCACAGCCCATTCATTTCGCCTTTCTTTCATTCTGTGCAAAGAAAAAGCAACCTCTTAATCCAGATATCGTAACATGACTCGCGCATGCATGCACGTGCACTGTTGTGGCATGACCACCAAAACAGAAAGATATGGACACAAGATGTGTGCAAATGTATTTAGTATCCTATCCATGTGAAAATTATTTAAGTGGAGGGTGGACCTAACCTCCTCTAGGGGGGTCCGGGGGCATGCTCCCCCGGGAAGATTTTTTTTAAATGTTGAAGTTAAAAGCATCAATCTGGTGCACATTGAGAGCAAAATGAAGAGATCTATGGATAGATCGCTCAACATCCATATGAAACAGAACTGTAAGCAGATTTTCTTTTTCTTTATCAATCAATCAATCACATTTATTTATAAAGCACATTTAAAAACAACCCACGTTGAACAAAGTGCTTATGGATATTTTACAAATCACTCCCCCTGTAAACTGTATTCTTGTTTATTAATAACAACTTTTCTTTACTGTCATATAGTATTTTATATCTGTTTTTCATTTATTCTCTTATTTTTTTATAACTATAATGATCATATAAAGGTGTGCCTTTACCTCACTGAGCTGAGGTTATTTGAGCTTCTCTGTCAGGAGAGAGCTCTCTTCCACCTGGTTGTAGAAAAAGCTCCTTATATTCGTTAGCATAGCTAGCTAACCATATGCTAACAATCCTCGGTACCGCTCTCTCTCTCTCTCGCTCGCTCAAACAAAATGCGCTAGTGTCACACACACACACACACACACACACACACACACACACACACACACGCACACAGAGCCGAGCTTGAATGACACACACAGACCCAGAAGTAGTTACTGTGATGTAGCATATTCTTTTCGATGGCGTTATTGACTGTATGATCAGTATGATGACAGATGAACAGATTGCCACTGGGCTTACAACTAAAGACACAGCCACGCAAAAAATGCGGCATGTGTACAGCTCCTTATGTGTACTACAATTTTTGAAGTGCTGGAGCGGCGTTCCGGTGCTCTACACCTCTTTCAGACGAGACATATACCACGTGATGACACGTTAGGCTTGTGTTGTGTTCAAGGAACCTGTCCTTGGCCAGGAAAAACAGGCACTCGCTTGTTTAATTATTTTGCGGTCTAGATTTCGATAAAAAAAAAAATGTTGCGCGTGTTTATAAATGACCTCGAGGGCCGTATCAAATGGTCTCACTGGCCTTATACGGGCCGGAGGCCGGAGGTTCCCCACCCCTGATCTAAAGTAACGGATGCTTATGGGATGCTACAATGCACGATCTGTTTGGGATTTCAAGCCAAACACTTCAGAGACATGTTTTGTATATATCTGAGACCTATAATAAAGAAATGAAAAACAGTATAATAGGGGACCTTTAAGGGTGCTCCTGAATATATCCTCTAAAATACAGAAGGAGATATTTTAAATGCAGCCTGTCCTCCTACAAAAAACTACCATATAGGTTGATTGTTCAGCAGCTAAATACGACCCAGAGTCACGTTGTAAAGTGTAGCACCTCTAGTGGTCGTGTAAGAAACAACATGCTCCCGTTGATTGCAAACGCTCCGGAGGGTGGTATATTCACAAATAACCCTCTCTGGAAAATCCTAAATTGTGGAATAGTTTGGCCATTAAAATGCTTTTTTATTAGATTTCTAGCGAGAAGTGTATATTGTACTTTTATAATCTACGTCCAGTGGATGTGTAGGATCTATAGTTTGATAGATATTACGAAGATGATTTGAGGTCTCGCCAGGAGAACGTGTATATGCGGCAGCTTCCATGTAAAGTTAGCGTGGGTGAAAACAGTATTTCCGGTTTCGAAGTTTTCATAATAAAACTCACTGTCAAATGATTACACAGTGATATCTGCATTACTCATCCACTACAAAAACATCAGTTTATCCTTGTTAATTACACAATATTGATTGGTTTAAATTGTGTACAATGTTTTTGTGTTTTTAACCTTCGATTCGGAGAAACAAATTGTTTTTTCGGAGTTTAGACACTACAGAGTTTCCGAAGACACTACACTACCCAGAATCCCCAGCTATCGTTTGGGACTACAACATCCGCCTTGCTTTACAAACCCCGTGATTAGTCCTCAAGCTCTGTGATTGGATGTTGGAGTGGCAGTGCGACAAGGTTACGCCGAGCGTCAAACAGCTCTTTGAAATGGAATGGAACCACGGCAGACTATCCAAAACTGGACTCGGACGGGTCCAGCCCAGCCCTTCCCCCCCAGAACTACACATGCTGGCTATTGTGTGTTTCGCAACATGTTCTATGGCACGTCTCTACTGGGAATTGTAGTTTTAAAAGACGTTTTCGTATTTCCCACAATTAGAAGTTGCCAGTATTAAACTGTTTACACCCCTGGAGGTTTAGGGGATACGAAAGACATTGGTGTTATCAAATTTAAAACATATAATTTATAAATGGGTGAAAATTGCTTGTGTCCATAATGGGCAGCATTAATATATACCCACATGACAGCTAAGGTCAGAATAGCTTTATTTAACAGCTGGTCTTATGTCTGTGACCCCTCCTGTTGTTAATTGATAAGCTTGAAACATGCTTGTATAGGTTCAGAGGCAAATTTTGCAAATATGGCAGTAGCCATCGATCATCTTAAGATAAGATAAGATAATAAAAGATAAGATAAGATATACTTTATTGATCCCAAGTTGGGAAATGTTTTTGTTACAGCAGCATGTACTACTTTGTTCTACTCCACTACAATTCAGAGGTTAACCTGGTATTTTTACTCCACTACATTTATTTTAGTTACTTTGCAGATTCTGATTAATGATGTGAAATATAAACAACCCTTAAATCAGACTTTAGTTACACCTGAGTCAAATTCAGGGAAGGTGATTGTCAAGTGCCAAAATAAACTATGCAATATATTAGACGTTAAGTACTTTGTCAGACTTAATATGTATCTGTTGATACCCCCAACGTTTTTTTCTTATTCAAAAGAAGACCTTAACTTAAAGTATTCTTTAATGTTTAAATAAAGCCTTATTAGTTTGTCTGTTTTGCACATCCTCCTATTAATATCTTTGGACGTCCTGCACTAAACTGTTTTATTGTAGACATCACTACAGTATCTTCTTGATATTTTCTATTCTATATTTCTATCATTGACCTTCTACTTTCCCCCTATTTTGTATGTAGGCTACTCTTAATATTTAAATGTTTTCATCAAATATAACTTATTCAACAACTAAATTCAATAACGTGCTTTAACCACAAGGCGATGCGGGTTAAAAAAACAGTGGTCTAGTTAATAAAACATAATAATATCAAACATAATATTACTATTAACTTTATTGTGAAATTAAAACAGAACGGGAAAGGAAAATACAGTTTCAGTCTCTCGATTTGAAGCTTATGAATTGTACCATGAACCTGTATAGACCTGTAACAGTCAACTGCATGAGGAGTTGGAAAGGTAGTTCAGTAAATCAGTAATATCTTTGCACAGTGGTGCACAACGGTGCACAGCTGATAGAAAGTCCCTTTCTATCAGCTGTGTCCCTTTCTATCAGCTGTGCACCGTTATGGTGTAAATACAGCCTATCTACCAATTGGATCAAATATAAAAGTCAGCCAAATTAGTGTTGATACTGCAAGGAGACGTATTGTGTGAAAAGAAATGGAAGATGTTGTTTAATTGCTGATATATTTATGATCCACGTCACGTATTCAGTTTTGGCGGCATTTCTTCCAGTTTGTCCAGAAGTCTTCTAATCAGGGCTCTATAAATAAAGAACTACGGCAGATGTGTAGTATTTTTTTTAAATGTTTTCCGATTTCATATCGCATAAACA